TAAGTTGTCTCTATATCTTGGCTATTATGTGTAGCTGTGCAATGAACATAGATTTTATTTTTTTGAGAATTATTTTATCATTTTCTTGAACTTCATTTATTATTTTTATTTATTTTAATTTGACCAGAGATGGACAGAGTGAGAGTGAGAGAGAGAGAAGAGGGAGGGAATGATAAAGCAAGCCACCAGGTCTGGGACTCGACCACGGTCAGCCATGTGGGAGTCCACCACACCACCAGCCGGCCCCAGGTTTCACTTTTTTAAATAATCTGTTTATTTCTCTATGTCTTCATTAAGAACACCCTGGTCCAAGTTCTCATCATTTACCAGCTGAGCTATTTCAATAGCCTTTAAGTTAATTTTTCAGTAAATAAAGACCCACTATTGCTCTTCTCTGGGACCAGCAGATGCATAATGGTTACATCACTGTACTCCCACTTGGCTGACTGCATTTCAAGTTCCGGACTCAGTGGCTTCAAACTCTCACCAAGTACATGTGTATGCATGCTCAAGATCCCAGGAGAACAGAGAAGGAATTCCCATGTGGTCATTCCCTCTAGGAGGTGATTTTCTTGCTTTCTCTCTATCTCTCTGACAAGTGCATGTGCCCTATAGCAAAAATCTCTCCCAAAAAAAATTTTCCTAAAGACCCACTATTATTCTTGTACAATATACTCTTCAAACAGTGGCTAAAACGATTATTAAACAATAATCATGACCTGGGGCCAGCAGGTGGTAGAGTGGTTAAGGTGCTAGACTCCCACGTGGCTGACTTTGGTTCAAGTCCTGGACCCAGTGACTCATACTGGGCATGTGTGCTTGTGTGCCCAAAATCCTGAGAGGAGCATGAAGGAAAAGGGATTAAGGTGTGGCTATCCCCCCTGGGGGGTGATCTCTCACCTTTTATCTCTGTCTCTCAAGAGGGCACATGCTCTACATGATCTCTCACCTTTTGTCTCTGTCTCTCAAGAGGGCACATGCTCTACAGCAAAAACCTCTTAAAAAAAAGAAAATAATAATAATAATCATGGCCTTTCCTCATCTTAAATAATTCAGATGGCTTGCTCCCTCTAAAACATTCCTAATTCTTTGCTCATTTATTATACATTGAATTTTGTCTTGTCTCCTTTCTCTCTTCCTCATTAAGACCTTTCCAAAACCTCTGAACCCAAGAGTAGGTCACTTTCCCATCGTTCATTTTCATAGCCCTATGCATTTTTCCCTTTATAATTAGCCCTATGCATAATTCCCTTTATTTAAAATAACTCATTGGCGTGTTCTCTCCTATTCTATTTTTGAGAGTAGAGTGAGGTCTTGCTTACCATGGTACCTCCAAGGACCTAGCCCAGAAAACAGTAAATATGTTTAATGAATAAATGAACTGTTTGAGATCAATCTGTCCACCTATGCTCTGACTACATCCCTCTCATGTCTGTAGCCTCTTTCTCTTGGGCTTCTAATCAGCTTATAAATATTAAGTGGTCAGAAAAGTCATGGCACATTTAAAAAAACATTAAAATACGTCATGAATTTTCTGACAATATGTTCAAATCTTTCCAGACCTAGAACATTTCCTTTCTTGAATCCATATCCTCTTCTAGTTACATCACAGACTCTGTGCTTCTCTTCTCACTTAAATTTTCAAGTACCATATAAATACTATTTTCACTTCAACTCATATTCAATATTCCGTTTACTGCAATCTGACTTTTAGCTTTACCACCCACCAAATTTGTTCTTCCTAAGGTTGCTATATCCTCCTGCCAGACCAAATTAACAAGATTTAGTCAGTAGCTTTCCTGAATCACTCTTGTCAGCTTCCTTGATGTTTAGTTCTTTTCCTACATCTCTATTCATTTCTTTTTTGACTCATGGATGGGTCAAGTTATTTATCAAACTCCTTTTTTTCATTCAAAAATATTCAGTGCCTACCATGTGCTAAGAGCAACTGGGACACACCACTTAATAAAATAAATAAAAATTCTTTTTTTTATCTTTTAAGAATTATTTCCTGTATTTTATTTATCATGCTTGTTATTTTTAATTTGACCAGAGAGAGACATGGAGAGAGAGAGAGAGAGGAAGCAAGAAAGCAACCCGCCAGGTCCAGGACTTGAACCATAGTCGGCCATGTGGGAGTCCCGCACCATGCCACCTGCCGGTCCCCCAAAAGTCCAAAAGTCCTTTCTCTCTCTTTTTTTTTTTTTTTTTTTGGAGAGGTTTTCGCTATAGGGTGCCTGCACTCCCCAGAAAGACAGGGAGAGATAGAGAGACAGAAAGCAAGAAATCCCCCCCCAGGGAGGATGGCCATGCCACAATCCCTTCTCCTCCATTCTCCTCTTGGGATCTTGGGCACGCACACACACGCGCTCGGCGTGAGTTTAAGCTACTGGGTCAAGGACTCGAGCCACGGTCGATTACATGGGAGTCCGACGACATAGCCATTACGCTAACTGCTCATCCTTTAAAGTCCTTTCTTTATGGAGCTTCCATTCTTGATATTAGAATTCCCCACTATTTCATCCTTGGTCCACAGTTTTCTTATTCTGCACACTGTTTCTGGGTTGTCTTATTTTCATATGTCCAACATCACATTAGTGATTTTCTAATTTTTTCTCCAGTCTAGCCACTTCCCATGAGTTTTACACTGGATATCTTCACTAGGACATAATCTAGGATCCTTAAATAGGTCCAAACCAGAGCCTGGTTATCTTTTCTCTAAAGAACAGATCTTCATTCAGTGGATGTTACTCAGTCACCCACAGGTTAATCTTAAACCTTTCTTCTCCTATCTTCCATATCCAACCAGTCACCATTGCTGGCCACATTTACCCTACTTCTCTAACGTTCTCCTAACTACTAACTACTTTTTCTTTAGTCTTATTCCCTTGGTATCCTCTCCAATGGCTGCCAGGTGATCTAAAATACAATTTTCGTCCCTTACTTAAAGCTTTAAAAAAAAACTTCATCACCTCAAAGATAGTCTGTCTACATCCTGATACTAAAACAAAACCCTCCATGATATGACCCTTGCTTAATTCTCTAGTTTTGTTTTGTCTTTCAATGTAAAGATTTTGTTGTCCACAGTGTGGCATAATGATTAACATCACAGTCTTTGTAGTTAGGATAGGTGAGTGTGAATTTCAGCTTTAACATTCATGTATCTCAGTTTTCTTCCTATTGTAAAATGAGTACAATAGTCACAATGTTGTAATTTAGAGGACTGTTAAAATGTGTGCTTGAAGCATTTTTGGAACATATTATCTATTATTATATCAGGCTGCTTCTAATATTTCTGCCTTTGTTTATTCTACTACCTCTTTTTTCCTGCAATATATTAGTTTAGCCACAAATTCTATGTAGTAATCAAATTTTTATGAGTTGACAAAGCTGCTACCTATTACAATTTATTTCACTTTGGGAATTAATGTACTGTCTCTCATCATGATTTTTTTTTTTTTGACGGTTGTAGTCACTTCAATTCTTATATTGCTGGGAGTCAAAAATGCACTTTCTGTACAGCATTTAGATAAAAGGATGAGAAAGGAGTATAGATAACTCCCCAATTTCTCGCTTGGTTGATTCGGAAGCCAGGAAATAGGAATATAAAGCTCAAATGTTTGTTGATACACTCAGATACACAAAATTGTCGATATTCTCCTTTCTTCGAAGTTTTCTACGGTCTCTTCAGTCCCCTAGGCTGACACTCCTATCAGGCAAGCTCTCCCTCGGCCGCCAAATGTCCCCTTCGGCTTCACCTACCCATCAATCTGCCAAACCCTCTAGCCGGGTCTTCCCTTTAAGAACCGGTTCCCAGGGAAATCGCTCACCAAAACCCGCCCCCTGGGTTTCCCCGTCGCCGTGGCAACGGGACCAGGAAGGGGCGGGCCTTGTCGTCCTTGGTTCCGCCCGCGGCGGGCGACAACCTCCTAGGTGCTGAGGCCCAAGCTGCTTGGCCACAGCGTGTCGGTCAGCTCCGGGTTTGTGGGCCAGCCCGGGGTTGGAACGGGAGCCGAAGCCGGATCCCGCAGAGATAGCCACGTCAACCTAAACTTACCCCTCCCTCCCCACCCGGCCGCCGCACCCGCCTGTGCCGCCGCGGGTCTCCAGGCTGCGTGCTCCACGCCTTTCCCACAATGCCCCGCGCCTGTCCCCGCCCCGTTTCGCGGTGGAAACCGGCGCGCGAGGACCCACCGGAGCTGGGGGCGCACTCGTTGCTGCCGGTGTGGCTCCCCCCCCCCCCCCC